GCGTTGTCCAAACCCTCCTTGGAGGGCTCTGGCAGCCTTGGGGCTGTGCCCACTGCCCTGGGGAGCCTGGTCAGTGCCCAACCAGCCTCTGGGGGAAGAACCTTTCCCTGAGATCCAACCTGAGCCTGCCCTGACACAGCTCTAGGCCATTCCCTGGGTCCTGTCTCTGCTCACACAGAGCAGAGGTTGGAAAAGCTCAGTTGTTATTTTTCAAATTTAACTGCTCAGGATTATCTGAGGCAAATCTCCCCAACAGCCCATGAATTGCTGCCACTGGGCAGGTTTGTGTGTGGTCAGGCTGGTGTTAATCCCAAGTGGAGCCCTGGATTTCCAGAGGAAGGTGTCCCTGCCCATGGAAGGGGGTGGAATGAGATGGGCTTTGAAGTGCTTCCAACCCAACCCATTCCCTGATGATTCCACAGCAGGACAAGGGCGAGTGGCTTCCCACTGCCAGAGGGCAGGGTTAGGTGAGATACTGGGAAGGAATTCCTCCCTGTGAGGTGGGGAAGGGCTGGAATTGAATTCCCAGAGAAGCTGTGGCTGCCCCTGGATCCCTGCAAGTGTCCAAGGCCAGGTTGGACGGGGCTTGGAGCAACCTGGGCTAGTGGGAGGTGTCCCTGCCCATGGCAGGGGGTGGCTTTAAGGTCCCTTCCCACCCAAATCACTCCATGATTCCATGATTTACTCGAGGTAAATGGAAAGCAGGACCTGTCCCTCTGTCACTGGAAGGTGCCAGCAGACTCTGCTGCCAGCCCAAGGCTCCCTGCAGATCTGAGCCCATTTCAATTGGCAGCTGAGTGTCATAAGCTTGACACTTGGATTTAATTAACTTCACATCTGCCTGGATATCCAAAGTGGCTGGAATGGCCCCAGGCCTGGGCTGTGAGAAGGCAGGAAATTGAGGTCAGGGCCCAGCAGCAGCTCTTGGGGTTCCACCCAGGCACAGACGAGTCCGTGTGTGCCCATTTCAGGGTCACCTTCCTCCCCCTGCCCGGTGAGACACCCCCCAAGAGTCCTGGATAAAATCTGTAGCTGGCTCAGAGCAACGTGGAGTGTTTTGGCAGCAGCTGGAGAAGGGGAAACGCGGGATGGTGCACGGGAGATCTCAGTTGGACTGGTCCCAAGCCCCTCACTGGCTGTGCCACACCTGGGAGGTGCCTCAGTGCTCCAGGAGGCACAGCAGGAGTTGTGTTATACTTTTATACAGGACAAAGCCCCCGTGGGGTTTTTTTGTGTTTGCCTTTCTTCAGGGACTCTTTCCAGCTGGCCTAGGGCCTGTCTGGAAGCGTTTGTGGCTGTGGAGGGTCCGGGGGTCTCAGCTCCTCACTTCAGTTGCAAATCAGGGCCTGGAGATGTTGAAAGGAAACGGCCAAGCTGGGGCTGTGCTTTACAGGGCAGCTACATTTACTTTATTTCATAATGGCCAGGATGGATTTAATTAGGAACCATCTCTGTTCACAGCTGAATAATGCTCTTTGTTTATGGCTGGAGCCGTTTGGGGAGATGGAAATAGGCTGGTGCTGCTCAGAAGCAGCTTTGATTCCTCCGGACCCGCCGAGCGCCGGTGCTGCAGAGAGCTGGCAGAATCCAGCCAGATTCCATGCAGTGGGATCCTTAAAAAGATGGGAATAAGTGTTGGGTGTGATCACTGGAGGGGCAGTCTCGGTGAGAACCCGATGCTCCTCTAATGGCTTTGCTCATTCCTTCGTCCCCTACAATGGGAATTGCTTGGAGAATTTGGGAGCAGGCAGCTGTGGGATCTGCCTGGAATCTGTAGGAGCTTTCTGCCTTGTTTTCTTGGGGGGGGGGAGGAGGGGGAAGGAGCTTCTGCAATTATTGCTGTCGGGGTGATGAAAGGGAAAGTTTGAAACCCAATTTCAAAGGCTGGCTGCTGCTGGGCTTCCGCAGGCACAATTCCCTGGGAGAGCTCTGGAAACTTGTGTGGGACCACTGCAGAATCTCATTTGTTTTCCCTGTTTGCAGCATCTCTGCTTCTGCAGAGATGGAGTGCAGGAGCCAGAGCCGAGACAGGGAGCTTTTTATGTCACCAGGAACTTTGGGAGACTATGGAATGAGATGTGAAAGAGGGATTTTTCGGTACTCAAAAGCAGAGCCTGCCAGTGGGCCAGATATGTTCCCTTTGGATTCCAGCAGCCCCACCACAGTGCAGCAAAGCTGGCTGGAAAACTCTGGGATGATCCAGTGAAGGATGAGGGAATTTATGGATCCCTGTTCATTAAACAGCACTTGGGCTGCAGCAGGACAGTTTCAGACCTCAAGCCCTATGGAGCTGTTACACATTCCATGCAGGAGCCAGGTTTGTGGATCAAGTTTGACCACCACCAACAAGATATTTCACCTGGAGAATCATGGAATGGTTTGGGTTGGAAGGGATGTTAAAGCTCATCCATTCCACCCCCTGCCATGGGCAGGGACACCTTCCACCAGCCCAGGTTGTCCAAGCCCATCCAACCTGGCCTTGGACACTTCCAGGGATCCAGGGGCAGCCACAGCTTCTCTGGGCAACCTGTGCCAGGGCCTCCCCACCCTCCCAGCCAGGAATTCCTTCCCAATATCCCATCTAGCCCTGCCCTCTGGCAGTGGGAAGCCATTCCCTGTGTCCTGTCCCTCCATCCCTTGTCCCCAGTCCCTCTCCAGCTCTCCTGGAGCCCCTTCAGGCCCTGCCAGGGGCTCTCAGCTCTCCCTGGAGCCTTCTCTTCTCCAGGGGAACCCCCCCAGCTCTCCCAGCCTGGCTCCAGAGCAGAGGGGCTCCAGCCCTGGCAGCATCTCCGGGGCCTCCTCTGGACTCTCTCCAGCAGCTCCACGTCCTCCCTGTGCTGTTCCCAGGGCTGGAGGCAGCTCTGCAGGGGGGTCTCACCCGAGGGGGCAGAGGGGCAGAATCCCCCCTGCCCTGCTGCCCACGCTGGGGGATCAGCCCAGGGCACAGGGGGGGTTCTGGGTGCTGGGGCAGGTCCAGCCCCTCACCCACCAAGGAAAGGACCTTAAACCAACGAGGTTTCCAGTCCCGTTGGAGTCTCTGAGTGTTTCACCTTCAGTGTGGAGGTTTTCAAGCCGACTCAAAACAATCAGAAAATTATTCCATCAAATGCAGCTGGAGGCAGCTTCACTTGTGGTCTGAGGCCTCAGAGATTTCCAGCAATTTGACTTTGAAGCAGCAGTTCTGGGGAGCAGGGGAGGGAAAGGAGTGTGGTGCCTGGATGGATGGATGGATGGATGGGTGGATGGGTGGATGGCAGGCAGAAGGCTTGGCAGCCCCACCTGAGCTCGGCACACCGGGCTCTGAGGGGTTGCCTGGAGCTCTGCTCTTCCTGTTGAGCCTGAGGAATCATCTGGGAGGCTGTGATTGATTCTGGCCCTGTTTTATTTAGAAAATCTTTATTTCTTGCGCTGCTCTCCGTGCCATTTTTTAAATGCATTTGGCTGTCAAGGTGTCAAAACGTGGAGAGTTGCTTTTGGAGTTTATCTCCCAGTCCATCCATCTTTGGCTTTCATCAGGTACCTTCATATCCCGCAGGAGGGAACTTGCAGCTCCTTCAGGGTGTCTGTGGCACCTCCAGCAGGGATATCCCATGGGATGGGTGCCTCAAAGGTAAAACACAGGCTGACCTCACCAGGAGCATGGATGGGAGCTCCCAAATTCTGTCCTGTCTCTCCTCAGTTCTCCTCGTCAGAGTCTCCAGGCTACACCTACATGTGTGATATGCTTCCCTCTTCCCTGGGGGAGAAGGACCAGGAATCTGCAGGTTGTTTTCAGTGGCTGTGGAGTTGGGGTTCTTTTTTCCTGGCTGTAGGGCTGGTGTGACCTTAGTGGTGTGCTCGGGGCAGACACACCTTGGTGCCACAGGCTGGGGAGGGTGAGGGGAGCAGGCCGTGATGTGCAGGACAGAAGGGGTGTCTGGGTGGGCTGAAGGCAATGTTATGTCCTGTAGTGTTTGCAGTGCAGCTTCCCACCTGCAGGACGGGTGAGATCAGCTTTTGTTTTATCTTTGAGGATAAAACAAGTGTCTTTGCTGAGTTCCTTCCTTTCCTTGCCGAGGTGGACACGAGGGAATTTCCTTCCTCCTATATGGCAGCTCGTGGAGATTGTGGTTCAAGGTCCCCAGGACCTCCAGCTCCTCCTGTTTGCACCCTGGATGGTTTCTGGTGCACCTTCCCTGGAGCCTTTGGCTCTCTGGATCTCTGTTTTGTGTGATCTGGACACAGGGAAGGAGAGTTCTTCCAGCAGAGCTGTTGCTGCTTTGTGACAGAGATAAATGCAGATCCAAGCCTTGTCTCCCATGTGCAGGCAGCAGATCCTGCCCCAGCAGGCTGTGATGGACAAGGATATAAACTGTTGGGTCTCACCTCTCCCTCTGTCTGCCAAGCCCGAGTGATTTGAGTTCTCCTCCTTTGGAAGCAGGCGCTGTAAATCCTGGATCCTCCGTTCCATGGCTGGGTGCCGAGGAGCTGCCTGATGGTTCCCAGGCCGTGCTGAGGCTGCTCTGCCAGGACAGAGATGGGGAAAAGGTACTTCTGTGACTACTGTGACAGGTCCTTCCAGGACAACCTGCACAACAGGAAGAAACACCTCAATGGAGTGCAGCATCTCCGGGCTAAGAGAGTCTGGTACGACTTATTCCGAGGTGGGTGCTCCCAGCTGTCTGCCACTCCCTTCCTGGGGCTGGGAGGGGATGGATGAGGTGGGGCAGTGGGAATAGAAGATAAATCAGCACTGGTGGTTTATACACACTGGTGAGTCTGTGTGCCCTGATGCTCTTGCATCAAGAGTCGCAGAGGCAAAACAGAGACAGGCTCTGACTTGTCTCACTTGTCAGTGCCACCTGAGGAATGCTGTGGGAATGTGCATCCAGGGGCTGAGAAGGGAGCAGGGCAGTGCGTTCTGGCTGTAGCAAAGACTGAGTGTGGGTTCAGCTGGCTGTGAGACCATTGCCTGTGTGTTCCTGTGCTTCCTTGTGGTTCCTGAGCTGTTTGGGACAGGGCACGGGGTCTTTACGTGCTCTCACCCGTGTTCTCCCCAGATGCCGCCGCTATCCTGCAGGAGGAGCAAACCAAGAAACCCTGTCGGAAGTTCCTGCAGACAGGTGAGGAGTTCTGAGGTGCAAATAAGTCCCTGAGCTCCAGAGCTCCTTGGAGAGCCAGCCCAAGGCTGGAGTGAGGGGCTTGGGCCTGTGTGTCCAGCATCTGGCTGGGAGGGGTGATGGAAGTGGAGCTTGGGTTTGCCTGCACAAGGCAGGATCTCCTGTGGGCAGGTCTCACAGAGCTCCTTGGCTTTTCCGAGTTTGGAAAAGACCTTTAACATCACCAAGTGCACCCATCAACCCAGCACCACCATGCTCACCCTTAAACCACGTCTTCAAGTGCCACATCCACAAGTGTGGTTTTTAAACACTTCCAGGGGTGGTGACTCCTCCATTCCAATGCTTTACAACCCCTTCCATGAAAATTTTTTTTCCTGATATCTAACCTGGTGGATTTTGAAATTGAAATTTGAATTTCCAAATCTCCCCATTTGTTCCAGGACAGTGTGATTTTGGGTCCAACTGCAGATTTTCCCACATGACAGAGCAGGACCTGGAGAAGCTGAGTGCTCAAGTTCAAGGTGAGTCCTCCCAAGAGGAAACGTCCAGGGGTCTCCTTGGAGGGGCAGTTGCTGCAGGGGGGTTGTGCAGGCTCTGATCCTGCAGGGAGCCAGCAGAGCACAGATCCCTCGTACCTGCCAGTGCTGTGTGAGCCTGGAGCCCTGGAATGCTGCTGTTTGTCATGTGCTCCCTGCTCTGGAGCTGCTGGCACAGACACAAACCTGGAACTGGGCTGTGCTGTTACCACTTGGCAGCAAGAGTCTGGAGTGGGCTTTGTGAGCCCTCGGGGTTTTACTCAGTCAGGGAATAAAAACTGTCAGCAGCAGAGGGCACTGGTACATCACTTCCCCTAAAATTTATGGATTGGATTTCCCCCCACCTCTCTGCCACTACCAGGGAGCTGCTGCCTCCACCTGTGGGAAGAGCTGGCCTGCTGTGGGGCTGTGCTGAGGAGAGGACAGGGGGTCTTGGATCCAGGAATGGCCTCTGCTCGCGTGGCTTTGGTGGAACTGAGGTGTGGGCAGAGGGGGGGTGACACCTGCTCCCTGCTGGGAGTCTCCAGAGAACTTCTGAACTTTCTCATTCTGGGACTACCACCTCGTTTCCCTAAAAGGGGTGACAGCTCTGTTTTCTCCATAGTGGTTGGAGAAAATCACAGAATCATGGAATGGTGTGGGCTGGAAGGGACCTTAAAGCCCATGCAGTTCCACCCCCTGCCATGGGCAAGGACACCTTCCACTAGCCCAGGCTGCTCCAAGCCCCATCCAACCTGGCCTTGGACACTTCCAGGGAGTGTGAGTGAGGTGTTGGTGAGAACTTGTGGAATGGTTGAGATCTCCACTGGAGATCAGCTGATCCCAACCTGCCCTTGCTCCAAGCAGGGTGCTCAGGAGCACTTCAGTTGTGTTTTGAATATCCCCAAGGCTGGAAACTCTGCAGTCCGTGTGGGCAACCTGAGCCAGTGTTTGACTATGTTCACAATAAAAAATGTGTATTTTTTTAAATACTTAAATGGAAATTCCTTACAGAAATTCCTGTATTTTGGGTTGTGCCCATTGTCTCTTGCCTTTGATGGATTCCCTCCAGTATGTCCAGTACAGGGAGCCCAGCACTGGGCACAGCACCCAGACATGGCCTCGCAGTCCTCCTCCACCTGCTCCCAGTGCAGCCCAGCTTGGAGCAGCCCTCGTGCCCACCCTGCTCCCTGGAACCAGCTGTTGGGTTGCCAATAGTCTGGAAAAGCCAGGCTGAAGTTGGAAGTGTGTGTGTGAGATGGGAGATGTTGGGGGGGTGGGTTAGAGCCTCTCCCGGCCCCCTGCGGGATCCGATCTGGGGAGGCAGAGCTCGGGGAAGGCACCACGGAGCTGCCCCAGCGCTCTCCGTGCCGAGTCAGTGTGTGACTGCCCGGGCTGACTCCGGGTCGATCTCTGATCCACCCTGGAATTGGACAAACCTCCGCGGGGACGGAGTGCTCCAGTGCCTCCAGTGCAGCCCGACCCCTCTCCCTGCCCGCTCCCTGCCGGGCCCCGGGGGCGGCACAGGGTGTCGGAACCTGCGGCGTTCCCAGTCGGTGCCGGCTGTGCCTGCGGGGGAAGCGGGAGCTCCTTGGAGCGGAGCGGAGCTGCCGGGCAAGGCTGTCAGCTCCTGTGCGCTCGGGCAGCTTCCCCCGCCGATTACCCTGCTTATTGAATATTGACTGCGGTCAAACGGGTCGGCTCGGAGCGCTGGATTGGCTGCCGAGAGCCGCGTCCGGGGGGATTCCTTGGAAACCTTGTATTTGTGTTAGGAGTGAAACATTTCATTTACCAATTAGCCCTGAAGCAGCGCCGGCCGGGGAGTGCCTGGTTGGGCAGTTCAGTCCTCACCTCTCGTGTGTGTGGCTCTATGAGAATCCTGTGTGAGAAGAGCATCACACAGACCCTCTCTGGGATCAGAGAGCTTGGAGGGGTTTGGTGGAGTGACAGGCTCAGCAGGACTCGGTGGAGGAGAGGTACAGCCCTTTCCAGGGACAGTGGGTGGAGGGATCAGCCGCTGTTGGTGTGATGTGGGGACGTCTCAGCCGAGGCATCCCTGTCTCAGGTGCTGGGTTGAAGGCAGGCTCGTGTGTGGCAGGTTGTGTTACACACACAGGAGACCTGATCCTCCATCAGGAAGGTCCCATTTGCATTCCCACCCACTCCTGGGGTTTCTGTGCCACGAGCCATGCCAGGCTGCAGCCAGCAGGATGCCTCAGCGTGGGCTGGAGCAGTGCTCTGGATCAGGCTGTCAGTGTCCACGGAGATTTCCTGGATGGGAGATTTTGACAGGCTTGGAGCCGGGGGTGGTTGGGGATTTGAGATGAGCAGAGAGACTGGAAGCTCCAGAGCCTCCCCACCTTGTGTGACCGTGCCAGAGGTGACCAGGCTGGTGGGATAAAGGGGACAGTCTCCTGGTGGGTCCACAATGCTGCTTAACCCCCCTTTCCTCAGCTCTGGTGCAGGCAAAGCCTCCTCTGACTTTTTTCTAACACTGCTAAACCGTGATGACACTTTTTTTGTCATGTAAATATTGAACCTGCCCCTGAGTCCCCTCAGAGTGTTTGGTGTTGGTAGCTCGCTAACAAGGCACTTTTATCACAGCCAAAGGAAACATTACATTGTCCTTAACATTTGGCCTTTTTAATGCAGGGACTTCAACCCTGTTGTTTGTGTAAGTCTTGTGGGTTAGGTAGGAAAATTTCTGGACAATTCCCTGTTCTAGAACAGCTTGGAGCGTGGCCTACTTTGGCTGCAGCATCTCTGCACCCTGTAGAATAGCCTCATCAAGAAGCAACAGTTTACACCTTTGGCAGGGAGGGAGCGATATTCCCAGCTGTTCCTGCATCAAAGCATTAGCCTGCTGCATCATTCATCAGCCAGACACTTCCAGGCTGTCATTTTAAGTACAGTCATGTCAGAAAAAGTCACTGTCAAATTGCCATCTTCTTGCTCAGAGTTATTGGCTGCCCCTAATCCGTGTCCGTGGTGCAGGTGGGATCAACCCAGCCCGGGCTCTGATGAGCTCCAGCCAGGCAGGGCTGTGAGGGGAGGGCCAGGGCACAGCTGGGGGAGTGTTTCTGGTGTATCCATGAGATTGGAAGGACATGAGGGACCCTGCTGGGGTGGCTGGAGCCGACTGGTTTAACTGGGCGGTGAGCAGGAGAAGGGCTCACAGTCGGCTGGGAGTGGTAACTTGTTCTGCTGCTCCTGGTGCAGGGATTCATCAGCCTCATCTCTCAGCCACAGTCTGGTGCTGTTCATGTGCTCTGGAGGAGTTTGGGGTCCCACATGACCCCCCCAGGGAGGCAGCTGAAGGATTTCATGAGCATCCCTTTGCTGGGTGACCCGCCCGTCCTGGAGGTTCCATCTCTTGGACAGAGATGAAGAGAACCCCTGGGAAAAGTTGCATGGGAAGGGAAGGTAAATGTGGGCTCCCACTCTGGCATCATTAGAGGTGCTTCACCAGTACAGACACTCTGTTAATTGGCTGTAATTAGACTGTGAAACAAACACCACTGTGAGGAGGAGGGGAAGCACCTTCACACCCGCTGCAGCCTGGCCACCTGTGGGGAGGAAGGGCTGGTAAAGGCCCTTCAGAGCTACTTCTTGGAATACCTGTTGGCATTCAGGGGGTGTTTCCAATCTCATTTGGTAGTCCTTGGATGGGATGTGTGTGCTCCAGAGGAAGATGAGATCAAAGATTGACCTTTTTGATGGACATGCATCAAGGCAGGAGAGTTGCCTGTCCCTGCTGCCCGTTTCTGAGCCCGAGGGTTGGAATGCTCTGGAGCAGTAACTCAGAGAGCAGTGAGAACAGGGAGCCAGCTGGATATCTTTCTAAGGGGGACACCTGGGGCCTCATTTATCCCAGTGTGAGCCTGGAGTGGTCCCTCTGCATGCAGTGAACTCTTCTGGATGGGGCTGTAAGTGGTGGCTGCTCAAGTCCCTGGACTCCCACCAGTTCCTGGTGTGGTGCTCAGGCTCCCTGCTCTGAACAGAGAGGCTTCATCTGCTTATGGTGTGTTCTGTGTTGGGCTCTGGAGCTGGATGAAGAGGAAATCTTAGTGGTAGGAAGAAGTGGGAGAGGTTTCTCTCCACGATTTTCTTCCCTGCCTCGTCACAGCTGCTGCTGGTCCCCTTGCCAAGGTGGGATGTGCCCAGGTGCTCAGGAGATGGAGACAGCTGGAACAAAGGGAAGTAAGGTGGTTAAGGTTGCCAGGGAAGTCTAACCTGGGAGCTGAACCTGGGTACCCTGAGTCTGAGCAGTGCCCAGCTCCCCAGACTGAGCTTCCTGGCTCCCCCTTCCCCACCTGGCCGGGTGGCTGGGCTCACCCCAGGTAGTTCTGTTGGGGCTCTGATCCTTGGGAACAGCTGTAGGAGCCTGGAACAGCCCCGTCTCCAGCCTTATCAGCAGGTTGCAGAGCAGCACCTGGACATCAGGCCCACAGCGGGCTGTCTGTGGTGGCACCAAGCACATCGTCGCCCTCCCAGCAGCACCAGATGAAAAGGCTGGATGACAAATTATCCATCTCCGGCTGCTCATTGTGTAGCACATTCCTGCCATCCTTATTAATATTCAACAGGCAGATGAATAATTGGTTGCCAGCACGAGGATGAAGTGATCCTTCACTCTGCCCAAGCAGTATTAATTTCACACCCTGTCTGGAAAGGTGTAATGTTTTCCTTAAACGTGTGACATATGGTGGGTGGGTGTGGAGGGGGCTCCTGGGGGGCACGGCTGCAGCTGGCTCTGCCAGGCTGGCTGATCCCTAAATGGGATCAGGGATCCCCCGCTGGGCTGGGTGAGCAGGGCAGAGGGCAGTGACACACAGCTGCCTCTGCTTCCCTTTTGCTGTCAGCAGCGTTTGGTTTCCGAGGGTCACGTTCCCTGCTGTGTTAGGGGGAGGTTTCCACCAGGCTGGAGATGTGATCGCTGGGAGCGGCTCCTCGTCCCGCCCCGCCTGTCGTGCTGGCAGCAGCGTGGCTGTGGCAGCCACAGTGTCAAGGACTCCTGCTAGACCCTGTTCTCTGCCAGCTCCCTCCCTGCTGCTGGGAACACTGGGCAGTTCTGCTAACTGGGCACCCCTGGAGTTGTGCCCAGTGAGAGGGACTGGTGAGCACTGGGCTGCCCTGCTGGCTCCGTGCCCTCCTGCCCGGGGAGGACAGAGTGTCTGCAGGACAGGTTTGTCTGCAGGTATCTGCCCCACACAACCCCCCCAGGATGCTGGAGGGGTTGAAATGTTGGAAGGACCCTCACTGGGCAGCAGAGGTTTCCTGCTGTTTTCCTTCCTCATTCCTAACTTGCATGAGAAATATAAGACAAGGAGTAATGGGTTCAAACTGAAAGGGGGGGAATTTAGGTTCAATGTCAGGAGGGAATCCTTCCCTGTGAGGGTGGGGAGGCCCTGGCACAGGTTGCCCAGGAGAAGCTGTGGCTGCCCCTGGATCCCTGGAAGTGTCCAAGGCCAGGTTGGATGGGGCTTGGAGCAACCTGGGCTAGTGGGAGGTGTCCCTGCCCATGGCAGGGGGTGGAATGGAATGAGCTTTAAGGTCCCTTCCCACTCAAAGCTTTCCGTGCTCCAAGTGCAGGAGCTGGTCCCTTGGCTCCCTGTGCCCTGGCTCTGCCCCCGTGCTGGTGGCAGCTCCAGCCCAGGCTCTGCAGGGCTGGGCACGTGTCACAGCGGGCACCGTGGCCAGCCCTGCCAGCAGCTCTGACAGCAGCTCTGACATCCCTGTGCCGGCTGTAACTGCTCCCAGAACCTCCCAGACTCTCCTGGCCTGCCAGGGCTGCAGTGACCCGGACACATGTCCCTGTCACTCCCACCTGATGGGGCAGAGGTGGCACAGTCCCTCCTGCCAGCTGGAGGGACACGTCTCTGGGAGAAGCTCCAGGCTCGGGGCCAGCCCAGGCTGTTTGAGGCGAGGATGAGGATGATCTGCCCCGGGGGGAGATGTCACTCAGTGCCACTGTGCTGGCTTAGCCCTTGTCCCTGGCTCTGCCTGGCTGGAGCTGTCACCAGGGATGACTCCAAGCATCAGATGGCAGGAGGGCAGAGGAGGAGGAGGGACTGCTGCTGTTCCACACTCTCTCCAGCACAGGAAACCGTGCAGGGTAATGAGCAGCAGGTTTATTGGAGTGAAAGGACTGCAGCACCAGGGTCTGGTGGTCTCCTGGCCCTCCCTCTGATCCAGCTCTCCCTGATGTCTCCCTCTCTCAACCAGGGGAGAAGAGGCTGAAGGAGCTGCGGCTGGAGGGAGCAGATATCCCACCTGGCACCATCGAGGACTGGCTGGAGAAGAGAGCCCAGAGACTGAGTGCGGCTCAGAGCAACAGGTACAGGAGTCTGGGGTCACCCAGGTGTGCTCTGGCTGCTGCTGCTGTGCCTCAGGATGCAGGGGGGGATCCCACAGCAGGAGTGGGATGGGGGAAGGTGTGGGTTATCAGAGATCCCAACTCCATGGGAGTGATCATTTAACACCCCTCCAGCACACATGAGGGGCACGTGTGTGGATCCAGCCCTGCCTGCCCGTGTCAGAGACGTGTCCACACGTGTCCCTGCGTGCCAGGGGACAGTCCAGGCCTTGGGAACAAGCCACACCCAAGGGTGCTCCGTGCTGTCTGCAGGGTGCACAGACACTCCTGCAAGGACAATGCCAGTGTGCTGCCAAGTTATTAATGCAGAGTTGGGTGGCAGGGGCCTGGTCTCATCTGTTGACAGCTCCCCCACCCCTGCCTGCCCTCCCTGCCAGGGGGAGGGTGGAACTGGCTCCTCCTCACAGTATCCACTGGATTCCGTGCTGGCTGTTTCCCGGCTCACCTGACTGTGCCGCAGGCTTAATGGGATACATTTGGGCACGTGCCAAATCTCTCTTTTGTTCTTTCTCTGTTTGCTCCTGTCCTCTCCCTGTTTGGCCTGGGCAGGATCTTCGTTCTGCTGCTTGTCTGGGCTTGTTGCTGTGTGATTGTTCTGTCCCTCAGCTCAGCTGCCCTTGGTCCTGCAGTGGTGCCCACATTCCAACCCCTGCACTTCATTTGCCCACTCTGCTTGTCCTGCCCATGAATCCCTGGATCTTGGGGTGGATCAGCTCTTACAGAAGATAGCCATCCCTGTTCCCATAGGGATTTCCTCAGAGGATCATACTCAGAGGAATGTCTAGAGCTTCAGAACTTGGTCCCTGCAGCCTCCATAGATGCCCAGAATTTCCAGGGTTGTTGCTTTTTCCCCAGCCTCTCTGTCCCTGCAGGCTCAGAAACCATCTGCTATGGGAGCTAAACACCAACTATTTAAACTTCCCTTCCTCTACCCAGCCTTTCCAGTGCCTGTCCCTGTCACCTCTCTTCTCCCCTTGTGCTCTGCAGCCCCACATTCTCCTTCTGAGCCCCCGTGGGCTTTGCTTTGTCTACCACAGAAGCTGTTCTGCATTGCCAGGGCCTGTTTCCAGCAGGTCCCTGTGCTCCTGGTTCCTGGGCAGTCCATTGTGTCCCTCCTGAAAGCACTTTTAAGGACAAGGAGCTCCCTCTCCCCCCTGCAGCCCTCGAGGTTCCTGAAATGTGAGGATCCTTTGCACCATACTGGACTAGCAGGCAATGTCCATGGATGGGGAGCTGCCCCACTGCCTTCCACCTTTTCCTGTCCCAGCCATTTGGAATCCTCCACCTGGTGCCTGTTTCCCAAGCCAGGCTGTGCCTTTGTTTTCTGGAGAGCTGGGGTGGAGCTGTGGGGAGTTCCTGGGGCTTGGAGCACCCTGGGCTAGTGGAAGGTGTTCCTGCCCATGGCAGGGGTGGAAGGAGATGAGCTTTAAGAGCTTTAAGATCCCTTCCCACCCAACCAGCCAGTGATTCCATGGTTCTCTTGGCAGTAGAGCTCTGCCAGGGTGGGATTGATTTTTACCCTGATTTCCAAGGGAAACAGAGAGTGTTGATTTCCATCAGAAACAAAACTTGCTGATTTCCATCAGAAGAGGGTCTGAGGCCTCAAAGCCTCCGAGATACCACATGTTTCATGAGCCTGGGAGAGGCCAAAGGGGAGGGATCCCCTTAACACCTTCTAAGGAAAATACTCTTGACCTTGCTCAACACTGGAGGATCCACATGGGACAACAGCTCCAGCTGTAGGCAAACCTTTGATAGCACTTGTAGCTTATGAGGCCCCAGGGAATTGAGAACCCAGGCAGCATCTTCCCTATTGATTAGTGCTGCTGCTCACGGAGCAGCTCGTTAGGTGAGGGCTGTGCTGTTCCACCCTGCAGCATTCCCTTGTCCTGAGCCACAGGGCTGGGCTGTGACACCAAACACCCCTTCCCCGAGGGGCTGCTGTGTGTCCTCACAGTCCTGTCTCATCCGGGGGATTCTCTGGAGAATCCCCACCCCGGGGATAAACCTTAAGCCGAGTGACTTTGCCCTGTGTTAGTTGGCTGGAGAACACTCGGCTCCTGGAGCTGGCTCTGGGCCAGGGCAGCGGCCCGCAGGGAGGGGAGGGTGCTGCTGCTCCCTGGAGTTATGTAAAACAGTTTGATTAGGTTTCTCCTGGCATAACAATTAAAAAGATTCATCAGGATCCGAGGCAGAGGCCTGAGAAGCTGCAAGGCTGCTGTCAGGGCTTGTGGGAGAGAACAAATGAGCTTCCTGCACTCAGGAATTAATGGAAAGGGTACGTTTGCCATGAATTTAAACCTGCCCGGGTCAAGCTGGAGACGAAGTGATGCTTCTTGCTCTTGCACTTCAGCCCAGTGTGGTGTTTGCAGGGGCCTCAACCAGTAAACCTGAGGGAGAGAGGCAGGGACAAAGTGATTCCCCAGGCTGAGGGGCGGAGGAGGAGAGGCCTGTTCCCTCTGCTGAAGGGTCCTTGGGTGAAAACACCCCATTGGTTTGGCAGCTCCTCCATTTCCGAGGGGTCCTTGTCCTTTAGGAAGTGCACAGCTGGGCTGGGATTTGGGCTGCTTGGGAAGAAACATCTGCTGGTTCTGTTTGTTCCTCTCCCAGCTCAGCTGTGGGAGGAGTGGGGAGCGGAGGGGACGGGGCCAGCCCTGCTCCCAGCACCCGGCTGTGCCTGCTGCCCCTGCCCCTCGGGGGGCTGTGCCTGCTCACCCCCCCCGGTGCTCCCACCTGAGTTTCCACTGGCAGGCACTGCTTTAGGGAGCACTGGCTGCTCGGATGGGCTGGGGATGGATTTGGGATGGGGGGATGGGAATATCCCCACTTAGTGATAACCAAACCCCTCCTCTACTGGAGGGGGCTCGGGGAAGCCCAGCCCAAGCATGGCCTTGCTGCCCAACTGAGACCCCCCCTCTCACCCCATCCCTTTCCATCTCCCCCTCACAGTGCTCTTCCCGAGAAACCAGCGCCGTTCCAGTACCCCCCGGGCTGGCCCCCGGTGCAGGAGCTGCCCCCGTCCCTGCAGGCCCCCCCGCCCGGGGGGTGGCCAGTGCCCCCCACCCTGCAGTGGGGCTAAGGGAGCACCCCCGGAGCGTGGCTGGGGCTGGAGTCCTGTCTGTGCCCCGGGAAAGGGATGGAGTTATTTATCTGCACTTTTAGACCAATAAAACCCTTCCCCCTCCCTCGCAGCCTGTGCCTGTCGTGTTCCTGCTCTCCCACAGCCTCCCCTGGGCTCAGCTGCTCCGAGGTTGTCTCCCTGCCTCTGGAATGTGGATCCGTGCTCAGCAGAGCTCCGGCCCTGCTCAGGGGCTGTCTGCTGTCACCTGGAGCAGACATTCCCTGTTTCCCAGGGCAGGATCCATCCCCTTGGAGCGCTGCTGTCTGCACTGCCCGCTCTCAGTCCAGCTCCACGCTGGGCTCCGTGATCCAGGCTGGAGAAGGGAGCTGCAACCAGGCTTTTGGAATTGATGTTTAATTTCCTCAGGTGTTTATGACTTATGCTGGTTCCTGATAAATTCCGGGTGTGAGGCTGCCTGTGTCCAGGAGCTCCTGGTGAAGAGCCTGGGGAGCCCCCTCAGCCCTGCTCCTGCTCCTGCTGTACTGGGGGCAAGGGGCAGGGAGGGAAAACATCCCCAGGTTTCTCCACAGGGAGAGTTTCACCAACTTATCTCTCCTCACCAGGAAAGGGGTGGATGAGGGAGGCCCTTGGCTTTCTCAGCAAGGGAAGTGGGTGCTCCAGCTTCCCTGGGTGGGGGGGATCCTGTCCAGCAGCATCCCGGGATGCAGCTCTCTGGCAGCAGGGCTGTCCAGGAGGGCTGTGCCTGCTGCCAGTGCATTCCAGGTTTGGCCGGGCACGGAGCTGGTGGGTCCAGATTCATGAAGAGCAGGGGCAGCAGCCAACTGCCTGTGGCCAAATCCCGCCTGGATCACGCTGACACAGGGCAGGGCAGAGCTCCCGCCTCGGGATGCGATGGCAGATTGTCACGGGAGCGTCAGCCCCTGGGACCCAGCTCTGACAGAGCAGGGACTGGATGTGACAGAAGCCTGGAAACAGCCTTGGCCGGAGCCTGGAGGAGCTCTGAGCCAAACTAGAGGTGTTTCTATCCTTCCAGCAGGAGCCCTGGGCTTGCTGGAGAGCGGGAGCACAGGGCCTGGGATCAACCCCGTGTCCCTTCCTCACTTCCCTGTGCAGGAGGTAACAAACATCCACTTGGGAGTGAATTTGGGGGTGAATCAGGGTCCCTTGGAGCACCTCCAACACAGAGGAGTCCCGGGAGCTGCGGGATGCCGGCGTGCTCCAGAGTGGGAGCATGAGCTGTGCCTGCTCTCTCCAAGCTTGGAAGTGCATCCCTGCACCCCCAGCCTGGCTTGAGGGAGAACCCCAAGGAGCTGGGGAATGCTGGGGGGCTCAGCCTGTCCCCCTCAAGCTCTGCTGACTGGAGGGGGACAGTGGCTTCCTGCTGGTGGCAGCAGGAGCTGGGACATGGACATGGACACCCAGCGAGGCCACCGGCACTGACGGATCAAGGAACTCCCACTCTTGTCTCTCTCACAGGCTATTTTGTTTCCCAGTCAAGCATCAAAATCCTCCCCTGCTCCTCACCTGGGTTTGGAGCTGTGCTTCCATCAGCCCCCCAGGCTCCGTGTGCTCCAGTCCTGGTGGGCTTTCCAGCTGATCCAGGAGGTGTTGCTTTACCCAACACTCCCAAACTCCACAGCTCCAAAACTGCTCCCCAGATCCAGCTTAAATTTGGTAGAGAGACACATCTCTGGTGGAAAGGCTGGAGCTCCCGGCAGCTCCCTGGGTGAGCTGTGGAGCCCGACTGTAAATGAAGGTTCTGTTGTAAAACACAACAGCCACAGCCTCTCCACACTCTGCCTGAGCTGCTCCTGGAGCAGAAATTCCCAATAAAACTGGAAAGGCAAGAGCAGGAGCGTTCCCTGCTGAGCTCCAGCCTGTCCTGGGGAGTGAGAGGGGCCGATCAGGGGGGTTAATTAAAACAGGGGTTTTCCCACAAAAGCTTGTGTGATCTGTGGCCCGTGGGCTGCATTCCCTGCAGGATGTCATGGATCCATGGAGCTGAACGTTCCCTGCAGGATGTCAGGGATTCACAGAGCTGTGTAACCCCCAGGGGCTCAGAGGGGACCATAAATTGCAGGTTTCTGGGGGTGTTACAGCAGTGTCAGGAGATGTGACAGTGCCATGGATCACCACCGGGATGGGACACGGCCCCTGTGGGCTCATCCATGGAAAAAGACCCTGGGAGGAGGACAGGAACAGGATGGGGCTCCCGGCTCCTTTCCCCAGGGAGGGCTAGTGCTGGATCCCAAGGGATGCTGCAGGGATGGACTCACGTCCCCGGGTGGGGGTGAGGAGCTGCTGCCCGATCGTGGAGCACGAGCCAAAGTGCCTTTGCAGGAGCAGGAGCTGGAGTAATTTATCGGGAAGCTTTTAGGGAAATGAGGCCCTGCTGGGCCCCGGCCAAGCACAGCCCTGCTGGGCTCTGCCCGTGTCCTCTGGCAGCTCTTCCCGGGAGAGGGACGGGAATGGGAGCGGGAATGGGGACGGGATGGGGACAGAGGTGAGGGCAGGACAGGGGCAGGGATGGAAATAGGGATGAGGATGGGGACAGAATGGAAATAAGGATGGGAATGGGACTAGGGATGAGAATAGGAATGGGGATAGAGGGGGGGTCAGGGACGGGGATCAGGGGAAGGGAGAGGGGACAGGGATGGAAATAAGCATGGGAATGGGGATGGAGAGCAATCAGGGATGAGGATGGGACAGGGATGAGATGGGTGTGGAGATGGAGATGGGGGCAGGGATGAGGATGGGACAGGGATGGGGGTAGGAATAGTGATGGAGATGGGGACAGGGTGAGGATGGGATGGGTCTCGGGATAGGGAGATGGGAAAGGGACAGAGAGGAGAATGGAAATAAGGATGGGAGTGGGACTGGGAATGGAGATGGGGACAGGGATGAGAACAGGACAGGAACAGGGATGGGGGGGTGGGACCAAGACAGGGACAGAGCTGAGCCCTTCTCACGCTCCTTGCAGCACCAGAGAGAGAAACAACCACTACCAACTTCTTCCCTTCCTATCCCAAACGCTTCCCAGTGCTATGGAACCGCACCCTGCCACTCCTCCTGGTTTGCTGCCACTTTTGCTCCTTCGATCCCCGCGTCCGGGGACCCTGCACAGGTCCTGCTCCCTCCCACCTCCCCTCGCCCGCGGCAGCCCCACCTCCTGGCACATTCCCTTTTTTTTTCCCCCTTTCCTGGCGCTCCCAGAATTGAATTATCCCAGAGCAGCCGCATGATCCGACCCTCCCGCATCCCGCCTGCTCCGGAGCCGGATCTGCCGTCCCCGAACCTGCCTGAAGAAATCCGTTCTCCCAATTCCCGTTAAAATTAATTGGGCCGCTTTGAAACGCTGAGCTGGAGGGGGGGGGAAATCGCCTCATTCCTTTTATCTAATTTGTTTCTTTTATGTCATTGTATTTTCTGGCAAATTAAATTGTCCTCGTTTCCTTTTTGCTTCTCTTCTGTTTGTTCACAGTGTCTGTAACAGACCTGGTTAAAAAAAAAGAAAAGAAAAAAATATATATACATACACATATGTCTCCGAGGCCACGTGGCTCCTTTGGAAATGCCACTTCATAAAAAAATCCAAACTTTCCGTGGGGAGATGGATGAAATTTCATTACGGACACGGAGCCTCTCCGCCACTTCGCAGAGGCAGCGAAATGATTTTCATTGCGTGGAGCAACTCCCGTTTGCATTCTCATTTTGGACGTTGGCTTCAATTTGTTTGATAAATTATATAAGATTAAAAAAAAAAGAACCAACTCCACCCAACCCCCGAATCAATGAGAACGCCGCCGATTCCTCCCGGCATCCCAAAACCGGGGTGTCCTCCCGCCGTGCTGCAGGGCGGGAAGTCCTGTGCCAGGGCAGGGAAAGGGGTTTTCCCATGGGATCAGCCAGGGTCCCAGGGATGTGAAGGTGGGGATGGCCTGGGATGGGCTCCTCCAGCCCCGTTCCCATGGGAGGAACCCCCTGGCACTGCCCGTGGGGAGGGGCAGCAGCTTTGCCCGATTCTCCCGCGGCCCCAAGCGCTTCCCCTGGTTTTATTTATTCCTTTAATCTCTTCGCCACTAAAAATGCAAAGAGGGGGATCCATTAGGTGGGAATGGGCCCCCCCAGCACAGGGAGGTGTGAGGCTGTGGTGGTTCCCGATGTCCCTCAGTGCAGGGGGGTCACACCAGGGCCAAGCCCCTCCGTGGTGGAAATGAGGGGTAACGGGGTGTTCCCTCCCTGCCAGCCTTGGGGCAGGATCCCCAGCCCAGCCCAGGGATGGTGGCCCCACAGAGCCTCTCTGAGCCCCCCAGCCAGCTCCTGGTTCCCCTGGGATTACTGTGAAGTTGGGTGAAAGCATTTTTGGGAAGGGGCTTCAGCTTGTCCTCCTTGTCAAGGCAAATGGGCTCGAAACATCCATCAAAGCCAACATGAAATATCAGGGATAAAACCACCCAGATCCACTGGGAAAGGGCAGGACCCCCAGCAGGATCCACAGCTGGAGTGGGATGGGGGACATGGAGCTGTCAGGAAGGAGCCAGGTCCTGGCTACCCCCAGGTTTGGGGACGCTCCAGCCCCTTTGGGATGCCAGGAGGCCACGGATCCCCCACCCACCACCCTCTCCCTTCCCAGGAGGACTCATCCCCCTCAGCATCACCCCTGGGTGCTCCCATGGCCCTCCACCCCCACTCTGCTCCATCCCCCCCGTGTCTCCAGGAGCCCCCACAGCCCAGAGCGCTTCAGAAATCCCACTTTTATTTCAGATCGGAAACAACCAACCAGGAAGAACGAAAAAAAAACCCCAACCCACCCCAAAACCCAAAAACTCCCCCCAAAGAATGAGAAACGGCCCCAAATCCGAACCAGTCCAGTGCCCAGGTGGGTGCTACATACAGGCTGGGGGGGCTCGGGGGGCTCGGGGCTCCCCGGGCTGGGGTCGCTCCGGCTCTTCCCAACGGGGGTCGGCTCAAAGTGCATCAAGCAGGAGGTCAGGAATGTCCCGCACTGGGCAGGTGGGGAAATCGAGGCACGGCACAGGGAGGGGGGACAGGGGTGGGCTTTGAGGGAGGGGGGGTGAAATCCAGCCCTTGGCAGCCAAGTCCATGCAAACGCTCCCGGCTCTAGGAACCATCTCAGGCGCGTGTATTGCTTAGGGGATGATTTGGTTTACCATAAATACGAGCTATAACGTTGGATCGGAGTATCCGGCGGGATCCGCCGCGGGGGGGCCGCGGGCCCCGGCGCGGGGAGGGGGCACACGGGGCTCCATGCACGTTCCATGCACTTACGGGTTGGTTTTTGCCCGGCGAGGGGGGCTCGGGGGGCGGCGGGGTCGTTACCGAAGTCTCCATGCGATGGCACCGCCCCGGC